GGATTGTAGGATACCTGTGAAGACATATTTTCAGAGCCTAATGCCTGGACATATAGTAAGGTATTATAAATGTACCTGGAAGTGACTGAACATGGCTGTACGAATAAGCAAATCCTACTCCCTTTCCTCCGTATTTTTGTTTGTCCTAGAGATTGAGCCCAGGGCCGACTGAATGCAAGGCATGTACTCTATCTCTGAGCTATACTTAGCCCTACCCTTTTGTGTCCTCAGTGTTTATTTCGGACGCTGATCTCAGGATAGTAATGCTCCACAAGAACCTCACGACTGGGGTGGGTGAGTGCTGCGCCTCTGGCTTCTTGTGTTAAACATTCACCTGGCGCTGGCTGAGTCTCAGAAGGGAACCACAGGAATGATGACTCACGAGACACCTGCAAGCAGGAAGGAGGCCCTGGGGCTGGTCTAGGAGACCCATAGCCACTGTACTCCACAGCTTCCACCTAGCTCCAGAAAGATCTGGGCTGGAGACCACCCTGAGTTACATGTCATAACCACCTCCCTTTCACCAGACAGCATGTCTAGGAGTAGAAAAAAACTGGACTGGCCAGGATCTGAATTTCAAGTCCAACTGTCTCAAACAAGAGTAGGGACACAACTCTGGTACAGCACTTGTCTAGCATGCACTAGCATGTACAACTTAGGTTGCCATCCCAAGAAAAACGAAAATCAAAACCCAAACAAAAGCAAAAATTGCCATGTTTTTTGTAGCCCAGGCTGGCCTCCAGCTTTTTAGTATGATTTTTAATTTTGTACCTGTGAATGGGTATGTACATGTGTGTACAGGTGCCTGAGGAAGTCAGAAGAGGACATCAGATCCCCTGGACCTGGAGTTACTGCCATGGCTGCTGGGAAGCAAACCCAGGTCCTCTGCAAAAGCTTAGTGCTCTTTAGCCCTGAGCCTTTTCTTCAGCCATCCTGGCCTCCAACTCTTGATCCTCCTGCTTCTGCCTCCCAAGTACTAGGATTATAATCCCTATAGGGGTGCACCACCACAACCAGCTCTGACTGGTCAGAAAAGAACGTTGGATCCCGAAGGCTGTTAGCTGCCATGTGGGTGCTGGGAATTGAATGTGGGACCTCTGCAAGCGCAGTGCTCTGAACTGGAGTCATTGCTCCAGCCCCTGGTTTCATTTTCTTGAGACAACTGTCTTGAAAGTCTTTTTTTTTTTTTGGTCTTTTTGAGACAGGTCTGCCTGTAGCCCCAGGTGGCCTGGAACTCACTACGGAGACCAGGCTGGACTTGAACTCAAGAGATCCAACTGCCTCTGTCTCCCGAGTGCTGGGACTAAAGCCCTGTGCCACCACACCTGGCAGTTGTTAGTCTTTTGGTCAAATGCATTATCATTATTTTTCCTCTTGAAAGCTAGTGCTATTTAAAAGTTCCTTTTAGAGCTAGGGTTATAGCTCAGTGGTACAGCATGTGCCTAGTGTGTGCTTTTGGTTCAATCCCCAGCAACAAGGGGGAAAAACAGTTTAGTATATCACAGCAAAAAAAAAACCAAAGCCCTCACATTGGCTAGAGATACAGGTCAGTGGTGGAGGGCTTGCTTTCCATGCACAAGGCACGAACTACAGAATAAGTGAACCATCATGTCACTGATGTAGCAGGGAAAAGAATTTCTTCAATCTTTAAATTCACAGTTAAGGACATGGCTAGGGATAGAAAACTTTAGCCAGAGTTAGTTACTAGTTCTGTTTCTCGTGATATTGCAATTATGGAGAAGGAAGTAGGGTATCTCTTCACTACTGAAGGAGTATGCTGTTAAAGCAGATGAACAAGGATCCATCCTACTGCTAAGAGCTGGCTATGGACAACACTAGGGGTGGATACCAATTATTATTAATTGCTTTACATAAACACTCTGATGCTTAGGGTGGATAAGGAACTTGAGGTAACATAGCCTCAATTTGAACCCGGGCAGTCAGGGTAAAAGTTGTCAGTACAAAATAAATATTCTTCATATTAGATACTTTAGGGGGCTGGGGATTTGGCTCAGCAGTTAAGAGCTTGCTGTGCAAGCATAAGGGCCTGAGTTCAAATCCCCAGAATCCATGTACAAAGTTGGGCTTGGTTACACAGATATGTAATCCCAGTGCAGAGTGGGATAGAGCCAGAAACAGGAGGATCACCAGGACTTGCAGGCCATCAGACTAGCTCCAGGTTGGGTGAGTGATCCTGTCTCAATATAAGGCAGAACGACTGAACATGACACTGGACATCTTCCTTTGGCCTCTGCAAGAACACACCATGTGCACAATCACCATGCACTCACAGTTTCCACATTTGAATTTACGTGTCACTGTGACCCAGAGAATGGAGTAGTGACCAAATCTAAAAGCCTAGTGCGACAACATATTTCAGGAGTGACTACTCCAACCACACACGCCCCCAGGCACACCAGCCCTGATGTAACTTGGCCCCATGGTTAACATTTGAGGAAGCCAGGCAAGCTAGGCCTGTCGGTTCCTGGTTCCTGTCAAGCACTGAAACGTTCACAGTGCCACAAGTCTATCATTAACTTCTTTCTTCATGTCTTCCAGGCAAGTGCCTGATCTCATAGAAGCAAACTGTATTACAAAAGCGTGTGGTGGTGGGGAGGAGGCCACATCTATAGTGTTGAAGTTTGTTATACTGTCAACCATGTGCTAGGTGGGTAGAACCCAGATTAAACAGGCAACAAATACCCAGTTTGTTAATCTGAAACTCAGCACAAGATGGGTTCATACAAAAGAAAATGGTTTGGGGGCGGGAGAGATGGCTCAGCGGTTCGGAGGACTGGCTGCTCTTGTAGGACCCAGGTTCGATTTCCAGCACCTATATAGTGGCTAACAACCATCTGTAAATTCTAATTCCAGGGGATCTGATGCCCTCTTCTGACCTCCAAGGGCATTGCATGACATGGGTGCACCTACCTACATGCAGCCAATACACACAAAAATCACAAAGAAGAAAAAATTTTGGACTCATTTTTCCTTTTTAAAATAGGAACAAGGAAGGGGCTGGAGAGATGACTCAGTTTTTAAGAGCACTGGCTGCTTTTGCAGGACTCAGGTTCAATCCCCAGCACCCACATGGTGGCTAACAACTGTCCCCACAACTCCAGTTCCAGGGGATTCAACACCTTTTTCTGACCTCCAGGGGCACTGCACAAAACCAGGGCATTTACACACATGCAGGCAATACACTCATACACATAAAATAAAATATTACGGTTAGGAACACTTTTCGTGCAGAAGACCCAGGTTCGAATCCCAGAACCCACATGGCAGCTAACAACTGTCCATAACTCCAGTTCCAGGGGATCCAACAGCCTCTTCTGTCCTCCACAGGCATTGTATGACACAGGTGACTCACCTACAGGCAAGCAATACATGCATACACATAAAATAAAATAAACAAAAAAACAAAACCACCCCACACAACTTTAGTATTAACACATCTATGATTTACACTATTAAATTCAGATAACCCAAGAATCAAGAGGTCTACTCAGTGTTACTAAGTCAGGGATAAAGACTAATTTTTCCATAATTTGCTTTACGATCTTTTTCTGAACTTTTTTTTTTTTTTCTGTCTTTTTGAGACAGGGTCTCCCTGTAGCCCCAGATGTCCTGGAGCTATGTAGACCAGGCTGGCCTTGAACTCAGAGATCCACCTGCCTCTGCCTCCTGAGTGCTGGGATTAAAGGCCATGCCCGGCACCTGAACATCTTTTATATAAGCTATTCTTCATCTTAGCTCAGTTGAACAGACTTGACCATACCATAGCATGATCATAATACTCTTGTGAAATTGTACAACCTGTCAAAAATTTTTAAATTCTATTTTTAAGGCTTTCATACATGAATATTCTATTTGCATAATTGGGGGTGGATTTTGAGATAGGATCTCCTGTAGCTCCAGCCAGACTGGAATTCACAGAGATGCACCTACCTCTTCTGGGAATAAAGACGTACACCACCACACCTGGCTATTTGCATAATATTTTAAAAGGTTTTACTTTTTATTATGTGTACAGATGTTTTGCCAGCAGATTTTTATCTGTGCCAGAACAGTTCATCAGATCCCCTGCAACTAGAGTTACAGATGGTTGGGAGGTGCCATGTAGGTGCTGGGAACATAACTGGGGTCCTCTGGAAGAATAGTAAGTGCTCTTAACCACCAGCCCATCTCTCCAGCTCCCTTTTCCCACCCATCAGTTTCTTAATAATTTTCCCACTCTGCTGGGCATGGTGGTCCACACCTAAATCTCTGCACTTAAGCTGATCCCTCTATTCCAAAGGATGGCGAAGCTCCAGTATAAACCCTGGATTTGGGCTGGAGAGATGGCTCAGCAATTAAGAGCACTGACTGCTCTTGCAGAGGACCTGGGTTCAATTCCCAGCACCCACGTGGCAGCTAACTCTAGTTCCAGGGGAATCGGATGCCCTCTTCTGACCTCTGCAGGCACATGTCCAACATGCAGGCAATACACTCACACACACACACACACACACACACACACAAAATATTAAAAAACAAAAACAAAAACACCACAATCCCCGCCCCCCCAAACAACCTGGATTCAACTTGGAGGATGGGTGGATCAGGTCTGCCTTGAGAAAGGAGCTTCAGCAACTGGAATGGGGAAAGGAATCCTTTACACGTGCCTTACCAGGCACCGCTCTACTTGTTACTATATTCCTTCACCAAGAGTAACGTTCATTTTTATGGAATGAAGAGGTTCACAGAAGATGGCAGAATCCAAACTGGGATGGTGCGTTTGGCAACTGCATTGATGATTGATTGCCGTTCAAGAAAGGTGGCTTTAAAATCTGCCCCCCTGCTTGTCTTAAAGAATAAAAGAGAAAAATAAACATAAAACATACACACAAGCCTCAAAGCATATAAAGTGGATGATTTAATACTACCAAGGGCCAAAGTGAAAATTAATAATGAAACGAGGACACAGTATTTCTAAAGTAAATAAAACGTGGAAGAAATGTTTTCTAAAAATAAAATGTTTTATTTGGAAAAAAGTCAGCTTCTTTCACCCTATCCATTACAATGGTATTTTAAATGCACTGAATACAATTCACTGACTTGGTCATATCTGTAACTTTCTGCCTCAATTTTGAAGACATAGGGTTATATATTTACAGTTCCATTCTGATTCACCCTCCCTTCCTATCCTTACAATGAACCCATTTTTCTACATTTCAGGTAAGTGAAAAGGGTCATGAAACGTACGGTTTGTGGAGTTAAAAACTATGTCCAACATATTCTAAGCACGACAGTGTTTTTCTTTAAGACTTAGTGTCTGTGTGTGTGTGTGTGTGTGTGTGTGATATACTCATCCAAACCAAGCACACGTAACAAACTCCTTCCTTATTTTATCTTTATTGGTTTGCCCAGGACCAAATTCTGGCCCTCCTGATTTTGCAAACACTGAAAAAAAAGTAAAAAGCAGAACAAAAACACCACACACACCAGTCTGTATGGAGCATCTCTCACACAGCTCTAAACCAGAAGCAAATATAATAAATGCAACTATCAAAAACCAAAGAGGAAAAGTTTCAAGGGAGGAAAAAAAAAAAAAATTCAGGGAGCTGGGATGTGGTTTAGTGGCAGAGCATGTGCTTAGCATGCTTGTGGCCCTGGGTTCAAAGCCCAGCCCCACCCAAACTTCCCAACCCCCAAATCAGACACACATACTCAAAGATTCTAATAGTCTCATAGTATAACAAGGGTCTTGGGAAAACTTAAGCTGAATTCAGCAGATGCTTGAAATAGCTGTTTACATTAAATTATGTGGCTTATTTACTAGAAAACCACAAATACATAAAGTTTTGTAGATTTTAATACTAACTTTCCCAGTGAGAAAAATAGTATCAAGTGATTTCAAAAGGGTCAATGACCTGTAACCACTCAAAACATCTCTTAACAGAGGAGCAAAAGTAGCAATTTAATGACGACATTCTAGCACTAGGCTCCTAATAAGCATCTCAGAAGAGGTACCCAGGAGGTGTCAACAAATACAACATGGCTGGAATAGCCAAGATGTTTCCAGCGCTTTACGTTTTAAATTTCTTAAATATATAATAGCTAGCAGGCACAAATGCCAGGCAACTATTGATACTAGAAAAATACTTTAGTCAGCATTTTATAAATGCCTCCAACTTTTAACCAATATTTCTATTCATAAATGTTCCAGTAACAATGTCGGACAAAAGCATTACAAACAACAACAAAACAAGATTAAGGTTAGTTACCTCAAGCAAGTTAGTTGTTATTTTTCTTTTTAAAATGACACTTAAAATACATGAATTCAGCAGAATGGTTTTAAAAGTTAAGGCTCTCTAAAGAGTTCTAAAAACTAAAACTTAAGGCACATATTATAATCTTCATGACACTGTTAAAAGCTAAGATTAAAACAAAACAAAAACAAAAATCCCTACTTCTTTCCCACATCCTTTGCCAATCACTCCCTACCTAAAGCATAGTATATTTTAAATTCAAGCATTGGTAAGGAGTGAAACAACAACAAAAATTCCATCAATAAACACCCATAGGTTTTCCACACAAATGTCCACTATCTGCATTGAGCACCACTGGTAGATGAGGCCAGCAGAATGGTTCAGATGTCTTGGGTCACAAACTGCTCTATCACGCTTCAGCCCACAGTTCATACTGGACTCTCCTCTTCTGCAGGGTCTCCAGAGCTTTTCTGCTGTGGAGACTGGGCTGCGTTAGTTACTTCCTTTGGCTTCTCGTCAACATCTACACTGGCCTCATCCTCTTTCCCTTCTTTTCTCAGCTGATCCTCTGCTTTCTGTTCTTTGGCCACAAGTTGATAATTGATGCCCATGCCAATGAAGAGATAGATCCCTGCGATGATGAGGATGACGCCACAAACCCAGTACGTGTACTTGTAGTCTCCATATATGTCATTGAGACGGCCTACAGATGCAAAAGACAAAGTTCTGTGGGTAACAGTGAACAAAGACCTTTCCCCAAAGTGGGAGGATCCACTCAAAGATGCCGAACCACCTCCAAGGATGACAGAGCAGCACCAAGACGCACTGCTAAATTATTTTGTTTATAATGCCTCTCTGGGGTTGGCTGGGCTTGCATATTCCATTTTAGTACTGAAAACAGTGAACTCTGGGAAATTTGAATGAGAAAAGACCAACGGATCACCTATAATCCTTCTCTCAAGACGTAATGGGAAAAAGAAAAAAAAAAAAAATCGCTTAAAGGAGGTTTAGGAGGTTTGTCCAAGGCCAGGAAGCTATTCCAGCCACACAAGGCCACGCTCTTTATCAGCATTTCCCATGAACACTTGCTCTGGGCTGGAAGTGTAACTAACACAGTCCTCCCCACCATTCTCAGCATTTAACCCTCAACTCAGATTCTCTCACCATCTTGGAGCAGTGATGGAAACTGAAGTGCAGAGACACTGAGTAACTTCAAGGTCCCAAAGCTAGTAGTCAACTAGCTTAGCTTCGACCCAGGAGGGCCGAGTCCAGGGCTGCACCCATCACCTCTGTGCCACAGGAAGCCTCAACTGTTTCAAAGTCAAATGAAATTGGAACATGGCTTATTGCATCCTTTTTTTTTTCTCAATGAAACCTATTTAATTTGGTGTTTCCAAATCTTCAGCTACGAAACCCTTGTTTAGCTAATGTTTATTAGCAAGCTAGTAACTCTAGGAAAAAACTCTGGAACTACACTTCACACAACCATTCTGAATGGGGGTCCATATGGCTTCCTATTTATTGAGTAACATATGCCAGGCAGTGGCTCTGTTGAGTTCTGAGAAGGGAGAGCAAAGGACATAACATCCACAGTTCAGAGACATGCCAGCTATTACACATACACAAACCGACAAGCACCACAGGGAAGATTCTGAAGTAGAGTGTGGGGCCTGGAAGACGGTGAGGAAGGCTTCCTCTCTGGAACAGTCACCTGAACTGAGATGGCAGAACAGGAACCATTTAGGAGAAAGGAGTGGGGAGAGGATTCAGGAAGAACAGTTAGTGCAAAGGCACAAGGGTATGAGCAGAGAGGAAAGCCATGGTAGGAAAACAGGGCTGGAGAAACAGGTGGGGCCAGGCTCTACTGAGCCTTGCAAGCTATCGTAGGGAATGAGATTTTCACCCTACACCAATCAGAAGCAGCCGGCGAAGTGCAGGAGCATGAAGAACTTGTAGAGTCAATACAGGAAGACAGGAAGACAAGTTAGAAGGCCAGGGTTAGAAGACCATTTGGGAGATGAAAACTGATAGGATTTGGCAACTCACTGGGAAAGAGCAAAATCAAGACAGCTATAAAGCTAGGTGTGGTGGCACTTGCCTATAATCCCAGCACTTGTGGGGAGGAATCAGGAGTTCAAGGCAATCTTTGACTACATAGCTTAAGGTCAACTAGATTTTATGAAACCTCATCTCAAACAAAAATAAAAACAAAAAAACAAGGCACCTATAGACCTTTCTGTTATGTGTGCTCATTCCCCAAGATGAAACTCCTAAAGTATGAATCACATCCAAAAGATTTGAACTACCTATGAAGCTAACAATATATGTAACTTAGGACAGGATCCTGCTATGTGGTCTAGAGGGGCCTTGAATTCAATCATCCTGTTTCAGCCTCTCAAGCACTAGAATTATAGGAGTGTAGCACCAGCCTTGTATGTAATTTAAAAGATGAAGTGTTTAGTAACCTCAGAGTTCTCAAATTATATAATGACATATAAACAGTGGAACTCGGCCAAATTATTTCACCTTCTGAAGCTTCTGACTTCACTTATGAAATTGATACTAAAATCGTCCTGCCACATAACTTTGTGAGATACAAGATACATACAGTTGCGAGGTCAGTCACTACTTTGAGCTTATACAACAGCTACTCACAGATTACAACTGCAATATACCCTACACTACTAAAATGCACTCTCCACCTGAGCTTTATTTAAAGTGCATGCCAGTTTCACAGTTTTTTTTTCTTTAGACATGGTCTAACTTTATAGCTCTAGCAGATCTCACATCTGACTCAGAAAATATTAACTTTCATAACCATATTTGAGCCCGACCCCTAGCTTGAGGATTTAATTTAACTCCAATATGTAAGTGAGCAATCACCCTGTGCCAAGCATCGAGCCAGCATCAAGGGTACAGAAATAAAAGACCTGCTCCATCACTCTGCTTGCCATCACTGTCTCAAGCGTGCACACGTGTTTCATGACAACAGCATCACAGATGTAGAGACATACTATACCTAAAAGCGGTGGCCCCAAGAGGACAGGACAGCATTCCACAATGGTCACTAGCCCCACGGCGCTGGAGAACCTCTGGGGTCCAACGAGGTCCATCAGTGTTTCAAACAGAACAGAGCTGAGCCAACCAAAGGCAAATCCGAAGAATCCCGCGTAGATACAGAACCCAACATAGCTGGTGGATAAAGGTGCCAGCAAATGGCACACTCCGTTTGCAACCACAGAAGCAGCAAAGAAATACTGGATCCGAGGTCTGATCCACTTTGTGTTGGCTGTGAGTCCCATGGAAGGTCTGGCCACCATGTCAACAAAAGCCAGAATGGAAAGAAGAAAGGCTGACTTCTCACTGGAATAATGCTGACTCTTGCCATAATTACTAAGGAAGACCAAAGGGGTAAAGAGTCCAAAAAACATGACGACATTTCCAGAGAGGTACAGCAAAAAGCCTCTGTGGGCAAACAGAGACAAGTCCAGGAATTTATTAATTGTTTGGAAGAGTGATCGCTTTTCTCCTTTGGGGTTCCCTCCAATAAGATCTGTATTTGCATCAGATTTTCCAGCTTCCTGAAGAGATTCTTTGGACCTCAGTTTCTCTATCTCAGCTGGTTTAGGGCCTATTGGTCGCATCAGGGATCCAGCAACACAGCAGTTTAGTAAGAGGCCCCCAAGAATCAGGAAGCTTCCTCTCCAGCCAAAAATACCAAAGAAAGCCTGATTGAGGGGGGCAAGGGTAGACAGAAATACAGGGCTGCCTGCCATGGCCAGTCCATTGGCCAAGGGTCGCTTCTTGTAGAAATACTTGCCAATCATGGTCAAAGCTGGATTCAAGTTGAAAGCAAGCCCAAGACCTAAAGAAAGGAGCAAAAATAAAATGCTGTAATAAACACCTCTTAGAAATACCTTTGAAATTACTTACCCAAAGACAGTAAAAGAGGTACTGGGGAGTCAGGCACGGTGGTGCATGCCTTTAATCCCAGCACTGGGGGTGGCATGCAGAGGCAGGTGGATCTCTGCGAGTCCGGGCCATCTGGGGCTACAGGGAGACCATGTCTCAAAAAGATCCCCCCTGCCCCCCGCAAAAGTACTCGGGGGGGGGGGAAATGGGAGGGACACCAAAATCATTGTTAGATGGCAGGTTGTGTTGGGTTTAAGTGTGGGTTTTTTTTTTCTTCAATGTAACGGAAGTACAGGCTTTAAAACAGACTACAGAGATTCACATAGGTTCAAATCTCAGCACCACTGTTCTTTTTAATCTCAGAAGTGAACCCTCCTCTCGTTTCTTAATATCTAATACAGACACACAGCACTATTGTTAAGAAAGATTTGCAAAGCATTTATAAAGGAGCCCACCACAGGAGACTGGAAAATTATTTTTAGTAGGCACACTTTCAGTTCTTTGAGATGAGAAGGATGGTGGGAAATGGCTGCATAGTAATGTGAATGCTAAATTGGCAACAATTAAAAGACATGCCTGTGGTGTGGTGGCGCATGCCTTTAATCCCAGCACTTGGGAGGCATAGGCAGGCGGGTCTTTGTGAGTTCGAGGCCAGCCTGGTCTACATAGTGAGTTCTAGGACAGCTGGGGCTACAAGGAGACCGTCTTAAACAAAACCAAAAGACAGTGTCTCAATGTTGGCAAGAATGTTGTTACTGCTGTGGAAGGAAGATAACTGAGTACATATGATCTTCCCGGAGATAACTTAGCATGTATTTTAAAAACACAGGCCACAGACTGGGACTAGGGAGTGTATATCAGTGGTAATAGAGTTCTTGTCTACTACTTCCAAGGCCCTGGTTCCATCCCGAGCACCACAAAATAAGACAGGAAAGATGTTCCTAAAACTGAAGGAAAATGGAAGAAAACATAAAATCTCTTTTTTTGTTCTAAAAGTGGGTAGGGGGAGCTTAGGTTTATACATAGAAAAAAGTATGGAAGGCTATACCTCAGAATGTTATAAGTAAAAAAAGAGGGGGGAGGCAGATTAAGAAAACCCTTAGGGTGGGTGTGGTGGCGCATGTCTTCAATCCCAGCACTTGAGAGACTGGCAGGTAGAGCTCTGAGTTTGAGGCCAGCCTGGTCTACATAGTGAGACCTTGTCTCAATACCCTTCCCTCCAAGTTTCCTTCTGGACACAATCTGGACAGCATATCAGATAATTCCTGCTTTCTGTTTAAAATACCACCCTAAGCCCAGCATTTGGGAGGCAGAGGCAAGCAGATCTGTGAGTTCAAGGCCAGCCTGGTCTACAGAGTTCCAGGCCAGCTGGGGCTACAGAGAGACCCTATCTCCAAAAAGAAGCCCCCTAAAAAAAAAAAAAAAAACAAAAAACCAAAACTGCCCTGTATTGCCCTCTTCCTGGTAAAGAGAGAGAAGGCAAGAATAAGTGATGACAACCCTTCAACAAGTCACCATATAAACTATCTCTTATCACTGTCTATTCTTAAAGGAAGCAATTACCTCTCAATTCAATTAGCAATACATATTGTATGGCAGCCATTTATTTTTTTGTTGAGTTTTTATTTGGGATTTTTATTATATGTGGGTCCAGAAAACTGAACTCAGGTAATCAGGCCCTGTAGTTCTTCTTCTTTTTTTTTTTTTTTTTGAGACAGGATCTCCCTGTAGCCCCAGCTGGGCGGCCTGGAACTCACAATATAGACCAGGCTGGCTTTCAACTCAGAGATCCACCTGACTGCCTCCCAACTGCTGGGATTAAAAGCTACCACTCCTGGACCTGGCAGTAATTTCTTTAAGTTTGTTTTCTGTAGTAATTAGTTTACTAGCAGTTGTCTAAAATGATATAAAAATAAACTATCAAATAGCCAGTAATATACAAATCTATGAAAATGAATTTGTAGCTACTCACCTCCAATGACTCCAATACACAAGTAAAGTTCTTGTACAGTGTTACAGAAAGAAGCTGCAATCAAACCACAGCCTGACAAGCAGCCACCAGCAATCATGACAGGACGGCTGCCATATTTATTCACCAGGATACTGCTGATAGGACCTAGGAGAGAAACAAAAATTCAGTGTTATTTAAAAACAACAACAACAAAACAACACAGGGCTGGAGAGATAGCTCAGCAGTTAAGAACACTGACTGCTTTTGCAGAAGACCTGGGTTCGAATCCTAGCACCCACATGGCAGCTAACAAATGTACACAACTCCAGTTCCAGGGGATCCAACAGCTTCTTCTGTCCTTCACGGGCACTGCATGACACGGGTGCACTTACCTACATGCAGGCAATACATGCATACACATAAAATAAAAAACAAAACAAAACAAAAAAACCCAACTTTTTTTGGGGGGGTCTTTTGAGATAGGGTCTCCCTGTAGCCCCAAGCTGGCCTGGAACTCACTATGCAGACCAGGCTGGCCTTGAACTCAAGAGATCCGCCTGCCTCTGCATCCCAAGAACTGGGACCAAAGGCATGCCTACCATACCCGGCTAAAAAATTTTTTACTGAGTGTTACACTTGCATGTATGTAAGTACACCTATGTTATGCAATGCCCATGGAGCTATACTGGGACCTGGAGTTACAAATGGTTGTTAGCTATCATGTGGGTGTTGGGAAGCAAATTTGGGTCCTCTGTGAAAGTAGTCAGTGCTACGAACTGTTGATCTCCCAAGAAATCAAAAGGGGGAAAATAGTTTGTGGGAGATCAAGTCAGGTAAGTCACTATAAGCCCTGGTCTAACAACTCACTGGGACAGGAAATGATGGGTAACTGCTAATCAGAGTATATAGTATTTTAAATGCTGTAACTCTTTTTTCAGTGCTGAGGAAACCTAGGGGCTCATGAAATCTGGGCAAGGATTCTACCACTGAGCCATACTGCAGGTCCTATACCACAAGTCTTAATAATATTGATCTTTCTGTGGCTCATAAGCTGATGACTGGGTTTTCATGCCACGGTGTGAGACATAACTCTTCGTCATGGTGTTACAATATTATTTGTCTTATGTGAAGAAACAAAAA